AATCTATAGGTACTAATATAATAAAGTTGAAGAGTTTGTTTGTGAGAGAACGAACATTTCATCATTGCTTTGTATTTATCGCATTTATTTGGCGGCCTAGGTGGTCTAGCGATGTAGCACACCGCTTTACTTTCGATGGTCGCGGGTTCGACTCCTCGTAAATACATACATTATTTACAAAAATACATACATATATCTATGTATTTGCATCATTTATCTAATACACATAACACAAGTTTTAACTGGCTTAACTTGGGTCTAGACAGCGCTGTGTGAATTGTTCTGGGATTATTATTATTTTTTAAACTTAATAAATTCTCATCTCCCTATAAGAGGAGATGGCGACTTACCCCCGGCAGAAGCACAGTCGGTCGGGGTTCAGGGCCCCAGGGAGAGAAACCGGCGCGGCGTACAATGCGGGTAGAATCTAAGAGCACCGCTTTCTGCATCTTTCCCGGGAGTGAGACCATCTGAGATATTGTTCCAAACTGGTTGGGATAAGACCGTTCACCGACATAACGATTATTATTATTATATAATAATGTATATTTTAGTAAATAATGTATTTATTTGCAAAAACATACAATTAAATACGATGTTCATTAATATAACCAACTTTACAATATAGGTGCAAATGCAAAGAATTTCTTAGTAATAAAAGTAATAAATAAAGTTTTTTCGTTCTTTATTTTTCCGACGTATATTTTATAGTGACTTCCAAGCTTTGTAATAGAAGACTATATATATGACATTCCGCTACAGCCGCGTCAGTTCGCAGTCTTTATCACAAAGGAACAAGTCGGCACGACATTACAAAAGGTCTGCGAGATGCGAAAGATTTTTGGTAAATACTACTAGATGTTGGATCGCGGTGTAGACATAGATAGTTATAGCTGTTTATTGGTTTTTTACCGATTACAAAAAGGAGGACGCTTTCCATTATCCATTATTTTTTTATACTACGATGGTGGCGAACAAGCATACGGCACATCTTTATGGTAAATGGTTACCGTAGTACGTGGGAAACACTAAGTGTCGCAGGCCCAGATGTGAGGCTGATTGCGGAAAATAGAGTCCAATATACACCAAGGGTGTTACGTGCGCGTTGAGGTCCCTTATGAAACCTTATACCCATCTTAAAAACTCCATGATGTAGTCTCTCAACACAACCTCGGTAGGTTCATTTGACACTCTAAGTGTACGCAGGAGCAAACTCCTTTGAATATTTTTTACGGCTGACTGAATATATATTTATATTTTGTATGTTTATTATGTATCTATTTACAGAAAATGTAACTATTCATTGATATATAGTTGTCTAGTACCCATAACACAAGCCCTGCTTAGCTTGAGACTAGATGGCGCTGTGTGAATTGTCATGAGATATTACTATTATTTTTTAAAGTCAAAATTCTAATAAGACTTCTTTTGTCGCTGCATTATGAATAGATTCATAAATTGAAATTAGAAATAAATAAAACACCATGATGATATTTTCCATCTCTCTGATATATAAATCAAATGAATGATATATGCATTCCAAATTCAAATATAAAAGAGATCTAAACTGTCAAAATCAGTCTGTTGCAAATAACAATGAAAGTGCAACGGCTGTATAGGCTTAGACTCTTTGCCGTTCCTGTAAGGATAAATAAATAACGAAAAAAAAAATGAAAGCTCGTCTTTACATAGTATAAAATGAAATCGCTTCTGCTGTCTGTTTTAGCTTCTATATCAGCAGATAAAAAAAGAAGTTACTAGTTTTGTTGTAGACCAAAACAATAAAATCATTCCTCTTAATTATACATATAATAATATTATAACTATAACAGATGTGAAATCTGTCTAATATATACATTAAATGAATGTTATATGCATTCCATATTCAAATATGAAAGAGGTTTAAACTGTCAAATTCAGTCTTTTGCAAATAACAATGAAAGTGCAATGGCTGTATGGGCTTAAGACTCTGCCTTTCTTGTAAGGATAATTAAAACGAAAAAAAATGAAAGTGTATCTTTACATAGTACAAAATGAAGTCGCATCTGCTGTTTATTAGCTTAGATATTTTAATCTACGCAACGGATTTAATGCAGTTTTTAGCAATAGATAGAGTGACTCTAGAAATGAGAAGCACTGACAAGAAATTCAGCTCGTATTCTTTTTAATTACATTTAAATAAGTTAACCGGTTTTGATAGTTATATAGGTATTTAATTGCCAGATAATTTTTACAAGCTTTCTAAATTATAATATTAGTAAGCCATGCAGCTATCGAGAAAACCATTCGTGAAATGTCTACCAAGATTTCCCATGGGCCGTATCCGTTTATCGGGCCACAGCAGTTTTATGAGGGAAGACGGATCAAAATGAGCGGTTAAACATTCTGGGTAATACCATAAAACATTTAGTAGTACATTGAGAATGATTTGTTTTCATTACGGCTTCGGGGTCTAGCGGTTTAGCACTGCATTACTACCACGCATGATGCAAATATTTGTATTGATGAATATTATTATTTGTATCGTTCTGGATGACTCTATGTACCTATGTATTTATAAAAAAATACACGTATTCCTGTCTTGTGACAATGGATATTGTCAAGTTACCCATAGCTGTACAGAGTGTGGCACATCGACACAAATAAATAAAATTGAAGTGTCTAGTTCAGCCTTTTACTAAATGCATATGTAGTAATATGATACATACATCAAAAAATAATTTAAAAAAAATTGTCTGTCTGTCTATTTGTTGTTGCTAATTACTGAAACGGATGGAACGATTTTGACGGCACTTTCTCTCACAGATGGCATGTATACTATACTCGTAAATACAGGCTACTTTATTTTTGAAACTATCTATTAATATAAAAAAAAAAAGTTATAATTATTCCACGTGCTCGAAGACCCAGAAATCTGCTAGTTGTTACTATAAAACGTAAGTTTGTGCCAACATAAGACTTAAAATAATATGTGAACAACGATATATGTACAACAAATATAATTTCAGAATAATATACTTATGTAACGATTACGCAACACTAATTAAACCTAACAATATGTCGTGTATGACATAATCTACTTATTTGTATTAATAGAATCAGTCGCTTACTGTGGAAGGATGAGGTTGTTTAATTTGCATGTATTGATAAACGATTTAGGGGTTCCGTATAGAGACACACTTGCCACGTTAACAAATTGCTGTTGCAAATATGTTCACGGCTACATGAACACTTAATCAATTTTATAAAGCCTTGCTCAAATCGCTTTAGTTGTTTACTAGAGTTATTGAGCATACAATCCATTATACATACTAACTATTAACTCGAAAATAGCTATAGAATTATTATAGTTGTTTACCACCCTTATTCAGTTTACAACTCTATGATTTGAGATAATTTATTTTTCTTCGATTGTTATTGTTTTGGTTTTTTTTGGGCAATTCTCATAGAGCCATATAGTCCCAAGTAAAGTAGAGTATAATATTATACTTATATTATTAGAAATGAATAATTTTGTAACTATCAAAAGTATTATTCTCCTGTTATTTGTTATAATAGGAGAATAAGAATGAATGAATGTAAATATAACATTTTTATATATCAAATAATAGACAATAAAAGACATAAATAATATATAAAAATGTGCGTCTTTCATAAAATCAATAAATATATAGATACTTACCGTATATAGATTATTCTATATAACTTATTCACTGCAGACCCTTTCCAAAGCCATAAAAAATTTAACAAGCAAAGCAATTGAAATTGGAACAGAGAAAAAATTAATTAGTTAATCTGTTGACGGAAACTTAGTAAGTTGCAAAGGGAAAGAGACGTAAATCCATTTATAAAAGAGCTTTACATTAATTTCGCAACATCTGGCTTGGGACTTACCAAAAAGATATCAAAGAAACCGGCGTAATACGACGTTTTCTATTTGAAGATGATATTAATACCGTTTCAGAGCCTGTGTTTATTTTATGTGGGGATTATAGTATCAAAATTTGTTCGAATAGGAAATAGATATCTAGAAACATAATATATGTAAATGTTCGGTGGGCTGTATGGGTGGCTAAATGCTGAAAACACGTAAATAGTTTATAATAATATATTACTATACATTTGCGTAGTATGGAAAAGACAATGAATCAACAATAATGTGAAGTACATCAAATAAAATTAAGTATAAAAGAACTGTTCTAAAAATATATAAATTTAAAAATAATATAATATCAAAGGAGTTCGGCGGTCGGTTGCCAACAATATGGAAATATAATTAGTAAAAAATCACGGGATCTTACCATGTTTTATTTTTATTGAGTTCCTGATATTTTGGCAGTGTTTCAACCGCCATAATCTCGGATAATATGTATAAATAATGACCGCGTCAAATTTAAAACAATATAGTATATATAGGTATAAACAGTTGAAACTATCGACCTTATTGTGTTGGTAACAGGCTTTCAATTAAAAAAGATGAATCAAAATCGGTTAACAAGTGGCGTGAGTAGATAGAACACCTATGTTACGAGCATTATTATCGGTGGTTTATTAGTTTAGCATAGGTACCACTTTACTTCAGATAGTCATAGCTTCCATTTCTCACATGGTACAAATATTTGTATTCTTGAGTATGATATATTTTTTGTAAATACGTATCTACAAAAAAAAATGTATGTGTATCCGTAGCAGTATTTGAATTATTACTGTAAAATTATTTGTGTCAGTTCTCAGGTACGTAGTACCTATAACACAAGTTCTGCGTAGCTTGGGACTAGATGGCACTCTGTCAATTGTCCTGAGATATTATTATTATAAATATACTAACATACCAAATTATACAGAATATCTTACACATATTAATATTTTGTTTATAGTATCGTAGAATCATTAGAAGACGTAAATACATGTCTTTATTTTTAAAACATACAAAGTCGATTATACAAATGGTAAATTGGTTAATTCTACTTCATTAAAATCTCTATTCTCTCTTGTTACAGCTTAGCAGTCCGACCCAGTATTTCTGGTATAGAACAACTCTTCAAATATCCGAAGACATCAACCACCCACAAGGTTTCAACTACAAGATAGCCTTAGCCCTCGTCATCGCCTGGATTCTTGTCTACATGTGCATGATTAAAGGCATCGCCTCATCAGGCAAGGTTGTCTATGTCACCGCAACTTTTCCCTACATAGTTCTAGTTATATTCTTCTTTAGAGGGATCACATTGAAGGGAATGAGTGACGGACTAATTCATCTCTTCACGCCGAAGTGGCACACGATTTTAGACCCTGTCGTCTGGCTAGAAGCAGGCACGCAGATATTCTTTTCCCTTGGCTTAGCCTTCGGGGGTCTAATTGCCTTTTCGTCGTATAACCCCGTCGATAATAATTGCTACAGAGACGCGATAATGGTCTCTATGACCAACTGTTTAACGTCGATGTTCGCCGGCATTGTCGTGTTCTCTATAATCGGTTTCAAAGCTACGATGGTCTATGAAAAATGTTTGGACGTCAGAAACGAGACTTTATTGGACATGTTCGGGCCAGGTTACAAATCTATGGTGTTCCCGGACCCCGGCCAGATGGTGACAGTTGATATAAATGGCAATCTGACGAAATTGATCATGCCTCAGTTGCCGGAGTGTGATTTGCAGAAGGAACTCGATAATGTAAGTAATAATTATTAGATACCACCCCGGCTTCGCACGAGTGTACATGTATTATATATATAAACATTCCTCTTGAATCACACTATCTGTTAAAAAAACCCGCTTCAAAATCCGTTGCGTAGTTTTAAAGATACATAGGACAGACAGACAGCGACAGCGACTATGTAATGGTGATAATGATACACATTTTGACTTAAGTAAGTAAAATGAGAACTTGTCAGTTTATCTATAAAAATATTAAAAATTGTTTAGTTTAAAATTTAATTTAGATTACTAACATGTTATTAAAGTAATCACAGAGTATATAGTAAGTGATCCGTACAAGTAACAAGTAAATACAGAGTTAAGTAGAGCTAAGTTATATTCAGATATTATATACCCAAATTAATTTACTTTGAGCAAAGCTTCGTAAATATCTGAACCTAAATACAGGCTTATACAAACTTGATATGTTATAGTAAAACTTATATTATATATTAACTAGCAGACGCGGCCACCCTTGCTCTGGCTAAGGTTCTTAAATAAAATAATATTGCAACTCTAAATTGAGATGTAAGCTATCCGATCTTTCAAGTTGAATCAAATTGCACACAATGTGCAAATCAAATTTGCAGTCGGTTCAGTATTTTAGGAATCCATCGCGGATAAACAACGTGACAGGTAATTTTTATATATAAAGATATTATGAACGCGAATGTGTCTATGATTGTACCATGTCAGGTTAACCTCTGCGCGGTTTCCCCTGGATACAATAGTGATAAATTCCTGGTAAATTTCCCACTACGGGTTAACTAATCTCAAGCTCATTTTATCATGCTCCACTGGTGGGGCACCAGCGTATACCGTTAGCGCAGGAGGGACCACCATTCTATTATCATCTATACAGAAATATATGTTTATAAGGAGGAGGGATTCTTAGTAATGTGGTCTAGTAGCCATTGCTAGCAAAGTACCATATCGGGTAGAGAATTTGCCATGATTATTGACCTGACCTCATGGTCATCTTATCATCCTCCACTTGTGCCCCGCCAGCGTATATGTTACTGCAGGCGTAAGCACCATAACATTGTCAACAATAAAAAAATGTGTTTATGATGATTTAATGGATCGATGTTTGTTACTTTGTCTGTTTGTTTGTTACATGAACTACTGGACGGATTGAAACCATATGAATCGCTAATCTATACATATACATAAAATTAGAGTGTCTGTTTGTAATATTGAAATAACCGTTTTTCACTACATGCATATTAATATAAATACTAATGTTATTTTGGTACATACACCAAAATAATATTTTTTACAATTTTTGTCTGTCTATCTATCTGTTTGTTTGTTCCGTCTAATCTCTGAAATGGATGGACCAATTTTGACGTGTATATTTAAAAGAAAAATATAGAAAAAGATTTGGTATACAGAGATATATATTGGGGAACGAAAGACAAGACAGTACAATGAAATCAACAAGAATGTACAATGAAAGAACATATAAAGTTAATTACAGATTTAGAATAATAAATTCATTCCTGATTACCCAAGTACAAAATACGACACAAACTATACAAGAGCTCTGTTCATTGCCTGATGATGTCTCGTTCAAAGCTGAAACACGTGTCGCAAAATGGATGTAGATTCAATAATGCTCGGAATTTGATTACCAATAGGTCGTAGCGCTTTCAGTAGCGGTGGTCAGGTTTCCGCACTGAAATTTATGATCTCACACATGCTAATGGTAGCTAACTTAAAGTAATTTAATATATGTCCAAAGTGCAAAGTAATATATGTCCATTAATTAAAACTTTATTAAACATTAACAAAATAGTGCAAAGTAATATATGTCCATTATTTAAAACATTATTAAACATTAACAAAAAAGTGCAAAGTAATATATGTCCATTAATTATATAAAATTAGTTATTAAGTTTGGGAAGATTCATTGATAGATTTGTGACTCTTTAATTGAAATTTAAATAACTACGGCTCAGATTTTATAGAAATTTACACGGATAAATCATATGTTATATTTATATATAGAAATACCTTTTACGCTAAAACATATAAATAGGGGCGAGGGATGCAAACTTTATAATATATCATAAATATATGTATGTATATATACATGTAGTATATGTTAAATAATCTCAGGACAATTCACACAGCGCCCTCTAGTACCAAGTTAAGCTAGCTAAAACTTGTGTTATGAGTACTAGATAACTGATACAAATATATATAGACATTATTTTTCGTAAATACGTAAATATTATACATAGAAAACATTCAGACCGATACAAACAATCATATCCATGAATAAAAAATGTTTGTGCCGTGCGAGGTATCGAACCTGCGACTATTGGAAGTAAGGTGATGTGCTAAACCGCTAGACTACCGAGACCGTCATATTCATATATAATAGCATAACTATATGTATGTATAGGTAACAAACTTAACTTTATATGGAGCATCAGAAATTTGAAGCGAACGAAGTCTCAAGGAGAGTTATTGCGACGATTAGGTTTACGCGACCTACTTACGGGTAGTTTATCGACATGCCGGTACGTTATATTATTTATACATATTATAATAGGTACATATATATAATATTGAATAATAATAATGGGCCCTGTTTGTTTGCCACCTACGTGGTATAAAAAAACTCATGTAGAGGTATCGAGTTCCGAACTAAACGTATCGCAAATTACTGAACCGATTTTGATGAAATTTTATATGTTCGGTAGGTCGGAGAATAGGTTATTATCTATTTCGTTTACCTCTAAGTGATAAGGGTGGTCCACTAAAATACATTTTTTTTAGTTTATGAGTTTACTTTTTATTTTATTGATTCGGCATTAAATAATACATATAACCCTAATTTTCACCCTTCTACCATCATCATCCCTATTTACGCAGGCGTGGTACCAGTGGAGCGTGATAAGATGAGCATGAGGCCATCGTTAGCTCATCGTGGTAAATTCACCAGGAATTTATCACTATGATTTCCAGGAGGAACCGCATGGAGGTCAACCTGACATGGTACATTGCTAGCAATGGAGTTTTTTTTTTGGGTTATTAGGCCACATTTTTAACAATCTCTTCTCCCTAATACTATTACTATTTCACTAATATCTAATTTAAAGGTGACTGACGGACATAGTGATCTATCAACGCACAGCCCAAACCACTGGACGGATCAGGCTGAAATTTGGCATGCAGGTAGATGTTATGACGTCCGCTAAGGATTTTGATTAATTCTACCTCCAAGGGGATAAAATAGGGGATGAAATTTTATATGAAACTTTGTCAATTTTAAACCGATCGGGCTGAGACTTTGCATGCATAAAGCTACTATGACGTAGGCATCCCCTAAGAAAGGATTTAGGGGGATAAAATAGAGGATGAAAGTTTGTATTAGTCTTCTTAGATTTTCGACTGATTGAACTGAAATTATTAAATTTGGAGCTACTATGATGAAGACGTTCGCTTAAATAAGATTTTAATAAATTCAACCCCCATGTGGATAAAATAAGGGATGATACAGGATGTAAATGTATTAGTATGAACCTATCAGTACCTAATGGAACAGATAAATCAAGACGAAGAAAATAATTTTTAGTTCTTTAGACTACTTTTATTTTAGAAAAATAAAGGAAAATTTCACGCGAACGAAGTCGCGGGAACAGCAGTTATTATATATATCGTTCAAAGCCAGTGAGTACAAGTAAAAATTGTTTACTCAATATGAATAATAAAAAGGGTATTGAGTTTAGAACGACTTTACATTTCATTAGATCATGAAAGACTCACAACTCGCTCCGTGTTCTAGAACATTCTATTTCTGCAATATTTTCATTATGCGGGCCACGTCCCTGATTCAATTTATAGAATCACAAGAATCTTTCATCTGTTCCGTATTGAATTTCACTATTCACTTTGTGAACCAACTTTGCTCTCGCTGCTGAAATAAATAAATAAATAGAACTGAATAAATAAAAACTTACACAAGAACATCTAGTTTCAATTTAAGCAATAGTTTCTACTACATACTACTGATAGAAATGATTTTTTTTATTTTGTAAACATAGGTATAACATAGTATCATTACATAGTATAAAACAAAGTCGCTGTCGCTGTCTGTCCGTCCCGATGTATGCTTAAATCTTTAAAACTACGCAACGGATTTTGAAGCGGTTTTTTTAAATAGATAGAGTGAAGGTTATGGTAGCCTATGGACGCCTAAAACACCAAATGTAAGGAGCATGTGATATTTGGTGTTTCAGCAGTCCATAGGCTACCGTCGACCCTTAAGAAACTTTTATATACCGTAGTAACGGTAAAGCTACAGCCTATAGAGCCTGTTTACCATCAGATGGCCTGTAAGATCGGTAGATAAAAAAAATTGTATGACTATTCAAAAGTGCTTAAATAATAATAATAATAAGAGAGGAGATGATAATTTTTGTAGAATTTTTGTAAAATAATAATAATCTCAGGACAATTCACACAGTGCCATCTAGACTCAAGTTAAGCTAGCTAAAGCTTGTGTTACGGTTACTAGATAACTGATACATATACATAGATTTTTTTTCTGTAAATACATACATATTATACATAGAAAACACCCAGACCGATACAATCAATCATATTCATGAATATAAATGTTTGTGCCGTGCGAGGAATCGAACCCGCGACCATTGGTCGTAAAGCGGTGTGCTATACCGCTAGACCACCGAGGTTGTCAGAATAAAAAATTAAGTTTATTTGAATAAATTATTTTCTATTCTATTCTATTCTTGATTAAAAAAATATTACAAAGTATTTTTTTCCGTACTAATACACAGATGCTATTGAAGATAAAATAAACCCTATGAGTACGGAAAAATGTCCATATATTGTTCCGGATTTATGAGCTGTAACTTTTCATTCGCTTACACATGCAATCGTAAGTTTATAAAGTACCTATATCAAGAAAAATCGGTAAACATACTTTTGTAGAAGTAGCTGCAAACCATTCGATTTCACATATAAGTACATTTTTAATCTTATAGAATCAGGAGTTAAAAATTGTCGACGCCGAGAGTTACTATGATCTATATATATAAATGAAATTGGAGTGTCTGTTTGTAATATTGAAATAACAGTTTTTTGTACCAAAATAACATTTTTTACAATTTTTATCTGTCTGTCTGTTTGTTCCGGCTAATCTCTGAAATGCCTGGACCGATTTTGACGAGACTTTTATTGGCATGTAGCTGATGTAATAAGCAGTAACTTCAGCTACTTTTATTTCAGAGAAATTCTTTTATTTTAGCAAATTAAAGTTCAATTCCACGCGAACGAAGTCGCGGGTGCATCTAGTAAAATATAAAAGAAAAAACAAATAAAGAAACAACAGTTATATTCAGATATACAAGTAATGCTAATATTTTATTTCACAGACGGCGTCCGGCACCGGCCTGGCATTCATAATCTTCACGGAAGCAATTAACCAATTTCCCGGAGCACAGTTCTGGTCTATTCTGTTCTTTTTGATGCTGTTCACGCTGGGCATAGACTCGCAATTCGGCACTTTGGAGGGCGTTGTCACCTCAATAGTTGATATGAAGCTACTACCCAATTTGAGAAAGGAGTACTTAACTGGTGGTATCTGTCTGATATGCTGTCTACTGTCTATGGCATTCGCCCACGGCTCTGGCAGTTATATATTTTTGCTCTTCGATATGTACAGTGGAAACTTTCCTCTACTCATCATAGCTTTCTTTGAGTGCATCGGAATCGCTTATGTTTATGGAGTTAAGAGGTGAGTGTTTTATATATGTAATAATAGTTTTTTTATTAATATTTTTTTTAATAGAGACGTACACTAGCCTACGCTAACGCTACGGCGAGGAACCAGTGCAGGTTGATAAGATAAGCATGAGGTCAGGTCAGTTAGTTCATCCTGGCAAATTCACCAGAAAATTATATAGGTATATCTATAACGTTTGTAGTGGATGTTTATAAGGTACTCTGTGCATTTTATAGAAGCGGAGTATGATTCTAAAATGGCGGGATTCCATTTTTATTTAAATTAATATTTAAATACAGTACAAATATATATACAGACAGATTTACTATCGCATTTATAATATTAGTATATATATTGTTGGGTAAAAAAGGGAAACTACGGACCAACCTGGTTCGTGTCGTCCCCGCGTGCAGGTCTTATTATACGATGAATTTCACTGGATGATGTACTAATCAGATGATTGCGCGAAGATCGCGGCTGATGGTTCCGTTAACGTTGATTCGCGGAGAGTATGCTGATTTGCGTGTGCTCGACGCGACGTACAACGAACGACTCATTTTGTTCATGCTACCCCCAGATTTGGTGGATAAAAATAGGAGTAGGATTTAGGGTAGTAACATATTGCAAGCTAAAATTGCAATATGTTACTATTACTACCCTAAATCCGAATACAAACTCAACATTAGATACTAATGTTGAGTTTGTATTCGTTGTCCTGAACCGATTAACGCGGTTAATCCATTAGTATCTCAATTTTATTCTAACACGTAAATGTATATTAACCTGTATTGAAGCAGCCGACCAAAATCAATACCCAACGTGCCGTGTAAGTGGAAATTTGTTTGGAAAATTCTCTTCATTTAGAGCCGGGTATTAGGAACATCATGTATGTAACGCCACGAACATACTTTATATTGATTTTACTTTTTAAACTTTTTCTTCCTTACGAGGTATGTAGAAGCCTGCAGATGCCAATATTGCACAGATAAATTAAAATTTCTTAAGTAAAAAGGTTCGAAAATTGTTTATTTTTACCGCTAGGTATGTTTGATTATATAAAATTATTTTTAGAGTTAATGCAGCTTTTTATGCAAAGCTGATGGTAAGTGGCAACCGTCGCATCGTTTCATGACCGTCATGTGCTGCCGTAATATCCATTTGCCATAGACACTTTTTTTTTCGAACTATTCTAATGCTGTAGACTGTAGCTGTCCATTACAGCTTCACTGAACGATAGGGGGCAAGTGCAGATGGCACTCCAAACCCACGAAAGGACTTATGTAGTGGCTGAAGGCCAACTCCTGCCTGACGGATGCGACTTTAGTCTGAGCGCACCGCTTAGGGTTCGAACATCGGCAGGCCGTCGTAATTTTGATCTTGTTTGAATTGGACGGGGGATCGATCAAAGGGATCCGTACAAATGTTTATACCGTATGAGAAAATGAACCCGCGACCATAGCTAGACCACCGAGGCCGTCTAGATTGTACTTATCATCAGGTGGGGTTCGACAGCTTCTTTGATTTTACAAAACCAATATCAATGTACGTTTGTTAATATTCTAAGTAGGTACAGATGTAATATTATGTTATCTGTGGTATAGATATGCATTGCATAATTAAGACAACGTATCGCAAATATTGATGTTAGTAATTTAAATTTATCTCAGCAATTACAAATCCTTCGGGGTTGATATTTAGGTATTTCATTTTTCACATCTTTGACCTCATATATACATTACTAGCTACCCATCCCGGCTTCGCACGGGTGTATATATATTATACATAAACCATCCTCTTGAATCACCCTATCTATTAAGAAAACCGCTTCAACATCCGTTGCGTAATTTTAAATATACATACACAGAGACGGACAGACAGCGACAGCGACTTTGTTTAATACTTTGTAATAATGATTCTCGTTAAGTACAGGATTGATTAATTTTTGTAGCAGAGAAAATCAAATAATGGTCTTATAAAACTGATTTACATACAACAAGTCTACAGAAGTGTATATAAAGAAGGTGTAATAACCTCCAAATTAGTTATCGACCTTTTGACCGCAGAGCGAAAGTGCAAAGCTCTTTAAATTTTCGTGAATTCGTGTCCATTCAAATGATTTAATCGTAACATTGTTTTACGACCAATTGTAGTCTCTAATGAAAATAGCTCCTCGCCGTATCTAAAGATAGGCTACTTGTGAAATATTTGCAGTAGGTAGACGCTCGTAGAAGATGGTAGATAACAGAATTTTGGTAGACAATGGAAGTTTAATGAATTTTCAAGCGATTAAAAGAAACTTCTCAATTTTTCTTATGTATTTTTTGTGTTACTAGCTACTCGCCTCGGCTTCGCACAGGTGTACACGTTTTATATATATATAATTTTTCCTATAGAATCACTCTATCTATTAAAACAAACCGCTTCAAAATCCGTTGCGTAGTTTTAAAGATTTAAGCATACATAGAGACGGACAGACAGAGACCACGACTATGTTTTATACTATGTAATGATGATAAAATACCCTAACCCAATTTTGATACTTCCTTTTTAATTGAACAGAACAAAATTTATATGAAGCAATAATATTTTTTCTAATATTAGAATATTATAGGAAAAATTATAAACCGATTTCGATGTTCCCTTTTTAGTCTAACAAAACAAAATTTGTATGACTCAATAATAGTTTTTTATGTCCTTATATATCTTGTCTTGTTAATTACCTCAAACGGAGAGAAAAATTACATATTAATTTTGTCATATACGGCCAGAAATTATATTTAGAAAAAAAATATTCGTTTTACAAAATGATAAGTAAGAATACAGAATACAATTTATAAAAGGAAAAGGTCAGATGTAGATTTACATTTCGAGTTTTCGTTATACTTGTTTTTTTCGGACTATTCTTATGCGGTTGATTGCAGCTGACCTTTCAGGTTCACCGGATGACAATAGTGGCGAGAACAGAGGTTACCCTAAACCCTCGGTAGAACTTATCAAAGCTAACATTGCAGCAGTAGTTTTTGCGTTAAAAAGGCGTTTTAATTTATATTAATTAACCTTAGAATTATTCGATATAAAAAAAGTACATAATATGTACTTTTTTTACTGAATCTAATTGTTACACGGCTAGTTACTATCTCAAATTAAATATTTTTAAAAACCAAAAGGAAAAATTAAATGTGTTGTTAAACTGTGCATCAGACTACGAGACTACGAGACGAATCTTATGGAGCGGCTGATGGTCAACTACTGCCAGTATCATGTTTTGTATAATTTAGTAAATAAAACTGTCTTGGACAGTTTCTTATGCCGCTAGATGGCGTTATTATGCAATGTAAAACGCGCTATTAAGATTTTTTTGTGCTTTTATATAGTCAAACGGAATGTGAAATATGTAACACCGACGACCCCATAACGGCAGGAAGACTCCCCACGGGCCCATTCCATCCCGACCACATTTAAACACACACACAGGACACCGTCCTCGCTGGCGAAGACGACGACCCCCAACACACCATATCGGGCAATCAACCGGGCGCTCCACACCGACGCTCCCGGGCGCCCCTCCGATCGATCCCTCATACAATTCAAACGGGGATCGAAATTAGGACGGCCAGAGCCGAGGTTCGAACCCTTAGTGGTGCCCCCAGACTAAAGTTGTATCCGTCAGGCAGGAGTTGGCCTTCAGCCGCTCCTTAAGTCCTTCCGCGGGTTTGGAGTGCCATCTGCACTCGCCCCCTAACGACCGGTGAAGCTGTAAAGGCCAGCTGCGGCCATAAGCATTAGAGTAGTCTGGAAAAAAATGTATATGTGGTTCGTTTTCATATGGTTCTGTACCGTTCAGTTCTAGAAAAGAATATAAGAACCAACTGTACCTATATTGTGTTTTCATTCATTGAACAGGTAATTGTTCACCCCTTACAGTCTCTTATTTCGGTGATGAAAAGGAAAAGTGACACATTGTATTCTTACTGCGTCACCGCACCAACTTTATACCTACATAATACATCATAATATGCCTATGTATGTAAATACTCTTATTGAACTTAACCCTAACCTTTTTGTTACTCGGAGAAAGTTTGTATGAGGGTTTATTCTGGAGTTATAGGAGTACTTATAGCTGTATATTTAATTGAGATTCAGACGTCATTTAGGATAGATGGATGGATGGATTTTTGTTACTCTTTCACGCAAAAACTACTCAACGGATTTCGATGAAACTTTACAGTAATATAGCTTAGACATCAGAATAACGCATAGGCTATAAATTTCATGCGGCTGAAACCGCGGGCACAGCTAGTCTATATAAATAAGTAAATAATGTAAACTAACTGGCTTTTAAAACAATATCCTTTAAGTTTCTTTGCATATCTTTTTAATTGAATCTGAACTGGATGATACAAAAACAATAAATAATATAAAAAACTTTACGTTCACAAACAATTAAAATGTAGTACATAAATTTTTAATCTCAATTTTAAAATCTCTGACTAGTATTGCTAGTAATTTTATTGTATTGTATTTCAGATTTGCTGACGATATTGAATTGATGACTGGAACACGCCCAGGTATATACTGGCTGATCTGCTGGAAATATCTCTCACCACTCGCTATGCTTTCGATCCTCGTATCCTCCTTCGCGCAACTGGCCATGGAGGGATCTGGGTACGAGGCCTGGATACCGTCTGAAGGTGACACCGTTAAGAAACCCTGGCCGATATGGGCCGTGTTGCTTGTTGTGGTGTTGGTTCTAGCGTCTGTGCTCTGGATACCCGGATTGGCTATATGCAGGTAATTTTTGCACAGATAATATACTATTGACATTTTCTAAGTTTAAATCTACTACTATCCACTTAGGTAGGTCCAATTTCAAGAAAGAGGTCAATTGTCTAATCCAACTCGAATGGGCAGCGTTCGGGAAACTCCGATATGTCTTTCGTCCAAATTACCTTCAAGACGAAGGTTTACGACCAATGTGTATTGCCAGTGATGACTTACTGCAAGGAGACCTGGTTGCTAACTATGGGCTTCGTGAATAAGCTCAGAGTCACTTAGAGGGCAATGGAGAGGGCTATGCTCGGAGTTTTCTCCTTGATCAAATCAGAAATGAGGAGATCCGTAGAAGAACTAGAGTTACCGACATAGCTCGAAGTATTGCGAAACTGAAGTGGCAATGGGCAGCTCGTAGGACAGATGGCTGTTGGGACAGTAAAGTCCTCGAGTCCCTGAAGACGCAGCGTGAGAAGGCCTCCAGCAAGATGAACCGGCGATCTGGTCAAGATCTGGTCTGGATCTGGAGGAGCGATCGTCGTGGAGATCTTTGGGGGAGGCCTTTGTTCAGCGTGTTGTCTGTGGACGTTTTCCGGGCTGAGATGAATGAATGAATGAAGTTTAAATACATATTTTTTTTATTTTTATAGTTTTATTTAGGTACCATCACTTTGAGTACAGATTTCCATAACGTGTTCTAAATCTAAAATTTGTATCTGTTCTGTGGAACCACAGACTGGTAATATTCAAGGATTTCTTCATAGATAATGTGATAGTAGTAGATTGAAGCCTCCTAGCAAACGGATTATTATGCTTAAAAGGAGGCTGCAGCAATTAAATAAAAAAAAAATTATTCTTGATAGTTTCTAATTTTAAATATTTTTTTAATTATTATTACCTATGGCACCTAACTACCATCACTCCAGATAGACCATAAACATTACGTTTATGGGAGTTTTAAATTGCATTTCGTCAACTCGTACGCACCCTCCACTCTAGAATTTTATACCCTAAATAAATACAATGATACTTTCCAGATACTTCGGCTATCCGATAATAGAGGACGAGGAGCGTGCCTGGTTTCCCGCTGAAGAGTTACGAGACTTTCACGGCATAGAACCGCGGCCGGTGTCAGCCACTGAGACCCTGTTATTCTGCACCAGACCTGATGGAAGCGAGAAGTGCTGTTGGCCAGGATGCTGCGATACTGATGACGATGAGTAGAAATCTCCAAATACATCCATATCTTATCTTAATAATTACTCAAGATTTTTATTCCGCGATCGGAATACATATTGCTAGGTCATCTTGAATAGTAAATGTTGGTAGGTGATTCCAGTTGTTATTTTTAGTTTAAGATTTTTAAATGCCGGCCATTTATAACCGACATAAAATAAAGTAGAGGTCTTTCGACTGTATTTTATAAAAGTATCTTCGCCGATTTGCGGTTCGATTTTGATGACTCTTATTTTTAAATGGTTTACATTGTTGGTCTCATAACCACTACTTTTAAAAATTGTTAAAACTTAAATTTTCATTAAATTCATGTATTTGGTATGGAATTAGGGATGAACACGTCCGAATACGTACGAAATGTATATTTTATTAAATTCATGTATTAATTATTATTAATATGATTTAATATTGAATCATACGGATAAATGTTTTAAAACGAAAAATGTGACGTCACTTTTTAAGTGAAATATGGACACGTTTATATTGATTTATCGTGAGAAATATCTAAAATTCATATCTAAATTTCATATCCGGCCGTATATATATTATAAACATATAATAAATTTTGTAGAATGTTTTAGAAAAAAGCTTTTAGTGAGTAAAATATTGTTAACAATAATTAATTCATAAGGCTTCGTAAACATATACCTAACACATTTGTTATCATGAATGTTACATATTATATTTATAATAAAAATATTTCCTCCAATAAGAAGTAAACTTATTTAAATACTTAGAAAATGTTAATATTTTCGATTTTCCAATTTATAAATGCAGACAATAATATTATAAATATTTAATGTTTGTTTTTACTCATAATTTTAATAAAAAAAATTATATATTGGTTGTTACTGTAATAAATATTTAATTAATTAAAAAAATAAAGATTTAATTATATTAAATAATGAAACACAAGCAAGTTTTGTATTTTATTATTTAATATTACGAATATTTTAATTTTATTAGAAGCCAATCGAAAGAATCATTATATAAACAAAGGATTTTATCATTTTGGATTTGTAAATTTTTGTATAACTTTATATAAAAGTAACACAAATGTCTATTTATACTCTATTATAATAATTTAATAATATATATTTTTATTATTTAATAATAAATAATAAACACTTGCGACAATATACTTGGAGGTTTATTGTCAGTGACAGGCAGTCGTCAGACATTTTTCAGATGTTTCTGATATAATAAATTTTGACAATAAATATTTTTGACTGTCCTCGAACATGTAATAAATAAATTAAGGAAGTATTTAAAAAGTTAATTGTTTTTTCACATAATTTAATTAAATGAAACATTTAAATTTTGACAATAAATATTGATGACTGTCCGCGAACATGTAATAAATAAATTAAGGAAATATTTAAAAAGTTAATTGTTTTTTCACATAATTTAATTACATAAGTGAAATATTTAAATTTTGACAATAAATATTAGCAACTGACTTCCAAACCGTAATTTAAATAAAGTATTTTTCGGTCAATGTCCTCTTATAAATTTTCTTATAATTTTATTAGTATTACATAATTATATACATTGACATTTGAATAATAAACATATGTTCAAATGAAGTTATTAATGTTCTACGACAATTTTCTTATTATTTAATGAACAGAAAATTATTATATAGATTTTGACAATAAATGTTAGATGAATAGCTATAAATTTTCTCAAGATTTAATAAAGTTGAAAGATTATACAAATTTTGACAATAAATATAAGCGACTGGCTTCCAAAAGCGTAATTTAAATGAAGTATTTTTCTTATTATTTTATTAGTATAAAATAATTATATACATTGACGTCTGACAATAAACATAGGTAAAATATAGCAACTGGATTTTCATAATAGTAAAAAATAAAGTTATTACGTATGAACGTTCTACGATAAATTTTCTTGTTATTTAATTAACAGAAAATTATTATACACTTTGACAATAAATGTTAAACAAATAGTTATAAATTTTCTCATATTTTAATAAAATTGAAAGACAATACAAATTTCGACAATAAATATTAGCGACTCGCTTCAAAGACGTAATAAACAAGATACTGTATAAGATTCTATGTGATAATGACTGTTACATTTTTGACTAATATTGCTAGAGGTACCGTGTTTTACTCTCAGCTGTACCTATGTAAATTTTATCACTGTTTTATAGTATACATTCATATTAAACTAATTGTTATAATAGGTACTAATTGCGTAGATCTACAATTTAAATTTTGCTAATAAAATTGTATTATTGATGATTTTGTGTCTGTCGTTCGTCTGTCTGTCTACTTTATTCTTTATATCTAATTAGCGATTAATTATTATACATACATATAAGTCATATATCTCCCCGATTAGTATAGGTTTGTGATCGAAACAAACCTCTCTACGTACTAATCTGTTAATAATGTAAGATCATCGGTATGAGCATTTATTTGGTCTTTCAGCAGCAGGCAGCAGTAGCATTACTATTACAGATGACATAATTTACTACTTTTTGATCACCTACTATTTGGTCGAAGTGATCCGTGTAGGCCGCTACTCATGGATATCTCCATTCAGTCAATACAGATTAAAAGTAGCGTTACTAATAATTATATCACAACATCAAGACCTCTTCTGGTATAAAGAATAGACAAGATATACTCATATCAACAATTATATTAGCAAAATTAAATCTAAGGTTATATTAAAAATGTCTCTAAGATTACGTCTATGCCTAAAAATAATCTCATATTACGATAACGTGGCATAAAATAGATTTAAAGGTATATTTGTTTATATTTAATAGAATAAAAGTTTATAAAGATACATAGAGTAAGTAAATAAAACACCAGGAAACATTAAATTGTGTTTACAATATTTAACTAGTCAAGTTAAAATGAAAATTTTTAATTTATAGCTTATTTTGATGAAATTTTAGTAGATATATTATTGTTAGAAATATCAACATATGGATATTTCTAACAATTATATACCTACTGCAATATATATATTATTTATTTATTTATTAGCTTTAATTATACTTAAACATATCTACTTCATATCTATATTAAAATATTACCTAATGAATTGTCTTTCAAAGTATGTTACTCTATATATACATTCTTTATTTAATGTCCAAGAAATACGTACGTTCTAAGCTAATTTATTTATTTTTATTATTTAGTTAGATATTTAGCAATTATTAATTGCAAATAATCTGTAAGAATTTCTTAACAAATATATATATATATAAAATATAAAAAGTATATTTCTAATCATCTATATAAAACATGTTTGTTAGTTACAATTAATAATACATTAAAGAAAGCGGGCAGCTGTTGTTTACTCACTATTTAATAAGAAATCATAATGTAATTGTAATATAATTAATTATAATTATATTGCAAATAAAAATATTTTTTTATATGGTAATATAATTATAAATATTTATAATTATAAATATTATTAAATTGTAATTGTAACAGCAAGGAAGTACATACGTTTTAATATGTAAGTAATGAATATAGCGTAGATATAGGTGTTGACAAATAACATTATAAGTATTGAAGTATTCAGGTAATCTGTGCAGTAAAATGATCTATATTTTAAATACTATATTAAAATCATGGCCAATGTCGGAGCAGTAGTGGTACAGGTCAAATGGGCCCCGATTTCGCTACACACGAGGCGATTTAGGAAGCAATCCAGGGCGATCCCCAATATTTCTTCGATAGTGCCCCTGATTTTAGTGTCGTGTGTAGCCGTATTGCAGTATTAATTAATCATTATGTTTTTTATGTACACGTTGTTTGCTGCGGATTGTATTGGTAATTAATATATTTGTATGGTCTGCATTTTTGCTATCTATGATTTTCTACTGTTAGTTGCATAGTGGCTCCATAGAATAGCACAGAGTAATACATTCACGTTCAATAGACTCGATAATGATAAAATACTATCGACATCTCCATTTAGGTCCTAGGAGTCAAGATGCACCCAATATTTCATTACTATAGTTATTATAAATCGGCACTCCTTCATCTCTAGTGGTTACAACTTGAGGATTTTCAAAAGGGCATATTAATGCTTCTTAAAATCCAAAACACGTGTTGCATATCTCCCGTACTTTAGGCGTCCATAAGCTACGGTAATCGTCTACCATTAGATAGGTTGTACGCTTATCAGTACTGTCAACAAACTCAGGTTTTTTCGATTAATAATAAACATATCAAATCGATTCAGTACTGAAACTTACACTCTCTTTATTGCATGTAAATTCTATAAAAATGCCCAATGAATTTCATCTTGTTATTTATAATTGTACGCGCCACTATATAGCTTACAACATCTAACTAGAAATCTACGAAATTGTAATATTAAAATTAAAATTATTTCAAATATTAAAATGGAATGGTTATGTTGTTATTAATTAAAAATATTTCAAATTCACGTCAATTACATAAAATAACTTTCATGCATAATTTAAATATATTTAATTAAATAATAATAATTAATTAAATAATAATACCTATTATATCAGTAGCTCTGAATATTATGTAGTGATATTTAAGTGAACCGTCTTAGGCCTACCGCAGAATGACTAATATATTGTATTTTGTAACGAGTTGGTCTTTGTAAATTGTGCACTATATTATTTATTGCTTAAATACTTAATTATTGTGTGATCAGTCAGTATCAGTGTAGGTGGGAAAAATGTTGGGGCACTTGATACGACACGATGAATTTATGAATATTATACTCGAAGGAAGAAAGAGAGAGTGAAAAACGACAATAGAAAGGAAGGGTCAACAAAAAGGAGTCCTGTCGTATCAACAATTGAGATTGATAGAAAATGGCATGAGCCCCGACGATAAAGGCGCGGTTCTTAAATTATGAATGAATGAATGTATGTATGGGATATTTTCACTTTCCGTCAAGATCCTGCTATCTTTATGTGAACGTAAATTAAACCTGCATCCATAGTTTTAATGTTA